TAGCGCTGCAAAACAGCTGATGGCTCCAATGTGAGCTCACTGTACAAACAGTATATCTTTGGCGAGGCAAAAGCATGTTAATACATCAATATGAAAATAGTTGACCTCTACCTCAATGGACCTTTTTTCTTTACTGAATGTGGTATTGTTTTATGCTTATTAAACTTACAGGCCTCCTGGGAATGTCATTAAATAAACTGTTCATAATAACTGGGCACTTTAGCTTTGAAACAAACAGTGGAATTAGAGTCAGTCTATGTTTTCTACATGCCTTGCATGCTTTTGGTATGTTTTTTTCACAATTATTTAATGCAGAACCACATAATTTTCCCCTTACACTAGTAAGACTGTGCTGTCTAGCACTCTAGATTCACTGTAGAATTTCACAAGCACTATCTTTAAGAACTGTTCAAGTCACCTTATGATGATCATACTGTTTTAGCCTCATGTACAAGGACTGGTCTAAGGGAAGAAAGTTTAGGCTGGGCAGGGTGGCTGTAAGAAATGTAAAGTACTGCAAAGAGCAGGACATTTTTTATGTTGGCCTTGTCACGAAAGCCATTTTCTCACTAAACTGTCCTTACTCTCCTCCTGCAAAAAAAAATAAAATATGGATCATAAGTTTTACACTCTTTGTGAAATGTCCTGAGAGTCAAAAGCTTAATAAATTAAAAGGTCTCCTATAGGCAGGTAGATATTGTTGCCAAGTCGTAAGCAAAGAAAGAATTCCCAGCTTACATTAAATTTTCTTTATGTTAGTGTTTTACTGTTCTACACTAAATTTTCTTTATGATTGTGCTTTACTATTTCCATTTCCTATAAGTTCTATGCACTGTAATGAATCTCACTACATCAGGTTTGTGTGGTTCACCTTCCCAGGCATATGAAGGCTCCATCACTGGCCCTGAGTTACACTGCTCAGGCACAGATTGTGTGTACTATTCCTTTGTGAGATTCACATGCCAGGTGACAAAAAAAAGTGGAAAAACTAAAATATCAAAGGCAGATTTTTTACTCTATTAGGAATTTTGTATATAGTTTCTGTCTTCAGGGAGGGGTGATAACTGAACACAGTAATTTTGCAATACAGGCTGTGAAATAATTACTTTGTTAGTTCAGCAGTACCAGAAATATGCAGATCTAGATAAAGTCATTAAGAATCTCTGTAGGAAGCTCTTTCTAGATAGAAACTAACTCTCTGAGTGGCTCCACTTGAGCAAGAAATACCCATCAGTTTTTATGATCTTTCTTAAAGGTACATTAGCCTTTATGTCCCAGATAGAGTTAGAAAAAGAACAGGCATCTCTTTCAAAAACAGGCTTTATAGTTCAAAATATATCAAATAAAACCGTAAGTTCCATATGAACAAATTCTTCCATATTGTCACAGCAATAATTTTCTAATCTAGTATTTTTTTCTGAACCTGGGTGTGAGCAATGGCAACCAATATGAAACCAACTCCATATTCTCAACAGCAGGATAAGTCAGATTTAGCCTAATACTGTTATGTCATATTTGGGTTTTGTGTATGTTGCTGGTACATTGATACACAAAAAGCCATTATAAATACCCTTTGCATGACAATCTGTTGTACTCTCTACTATAAAACTGATTTCATAGGATACAATATTTGTGGGTCCCTAGAAGACAACTAGAAGTCTTGTAAGAGAACAAATATTTGTCAAAAGTCAATCTGTGACAGAGTAACAGGTCTTTGCAGACTCTGCTGTGTTTGCAAGTGCTGTGAGAAATGGTACTTGAAAGATGCAACTGAAGTAAAAATTTCAAAATACAGCAGCAAAAAAAATAAAACAATCTGGGAATGATAACCCAAAAGGAAAAAGCTAAAAGGTTTAGGACTAATTAGCTTAAGGAAAGCAAAAAAACCGAACAGTCTCCATATTTTGAGAAAGCCTACAGAAAAATAAGGGAATAATGTGCCTCCAGGACAGAAAATCTAGTTTCCATGCCTCTGTTTGTCAGAAATAAGCAACTTCACTGGCAGCTTGGTTATGGGATGCTGAAGACATCATCTGAAGATTCAGTTTCATTTTTAGGGGGGTTGATATATGCTGATGGCTAGTGGCCCACCCATAGAGTCTGTGCTGAATGATCAGTTATCTGGCAGGCCTGACAGGTAGAGAAATGGAGATGGTTTGTCAAGGAAAATGAGGGACTTACCACTTTTCACTGAATTTTAGAAATTCAGCATGGAAAATTTTGCCATTAAGTGTGTGAACCTGACAGCATAAAACTGTACCCTACAGTATAGAATATAGCAAGCCATACTGTTGCCCAGTGTTTACACTGGCTACAAGAAAACTGACTTTTCTGTTTGGACTAGACCTCAAGGAATCCCATTTCTTTACTCTGGCTGTAAAAAGACCCTTTTTTTTTTTCCATATGGGTCAACAGAAATTTGTGTTATTTTGTTCTGTGTGTAAATACTTTTAAAACTGCTAATTGTCTGTGGTGCTGGCTTAGTAGACACCCATAAATTGTTACAGGTGGTTAGCTTTCTAAGGCTTTTTCTCAGCTTGTTTTCTTGGGTAACCATTGCAGCTCCTTGCACTGACAATGTGTCTATAGTGACTAAGTAATTGCAAAGCATTAGCATTGAATTTTAGAGATTACCTGTATATGTCTCTGAGGACAGAGGACACACGAATATTATCTCTTTTGCGTTCCATAAAATACAGTTCTGTTCTGTTACTGACTGAAACAGAGTTGTATGTTTGTGAAATTGGCATTCAAGGAAATGCAGGCGTGCCTGTAGGAGGGATATGTTTTACATCTGGTTCTTTTGTTCCAATTTGGTAGAAAACTTAATCTCCATTACAACAGTCATTTTCTGAACTGTGACTGCATTTTCACAGGTGCACACACCAAGCCGCACCCGAACTTCATCTTTCACAAACAGATTTATTCTCCACTGAATTAAAGTGTCTCAGGTTTTTCCTATCTTGCTTGGAGGAAGGGAGGTCCTTCCCTGGCGGTAGGACTTGTTCCAGAGAACCACGTGTACGGGAGAAGAGTGACACTGCAAAGTAAATATCGGTATTGTAATTTCATATTACCCATTTAGGCTCCAAAAGTGTCTCAGCTGCTTCCCTGGGGCAGGGAGCTGAATCACCAAGGTCAAGTTTAGGCTCCTCATCTCAGTCTTCCCATTAAGTAACCAGATTCAAGCTGAATTTGTTAGTGTTTGGAAGTGGATGTTTTGTCTAGTGGTAAAACACAGGGCTGGAGTCAGGAGTTTAGATTCAGTCTGTAGTTTGGGAACAGTAACAAGCCTCAGGACAGCTTTTGTCCATTCAAGAACAGATGAGATGGATTATCTTTTGATGGGTTATAAGATCCAAGACTGAAAAAGATGCTTTGCAATTAACTAAAGTTCAGCACTGCTAAATTGTAACAAAAGGAAAATGAATAGTAAGATCTAATGATGGCTTTCAGATAGGTTTTATAGGGAAATGAAGAAATACTAAGAAAGATGTAAGATAATGCAAAACTACACAAAACACATGCCTGGTCAATTTTACTCTACAAAATCACCAATGGCCACCCCCATGTGCAGGGTGAAATTAATGCTAATCAATTGCAGGCTTGTACTGCAGATGAACTCAAACAAAACTCAGCTTCTATGCAGTCTACCCAAATATAGCCCAAAGCTAATATTACAGTTTTCTGCATATTTATGTTATTAAAACTGTCAAACTCCAATAGATTTGTAACAATTTTATATACATATTTAACCCCTTTTTAAAAGTTATATTGAAAACCTTAAGGAATCACATCTGTTTGACTATTTTCCAGTCAATTACTGCTCAGTTTTTAGAATTATGTAAAGAATTATGTAGATCTTGATTAATAAATACCCACCTCTGATGATTTTATCTGGGTTTTTTTTTTACATGAATATGCAAATCAGGCACATGTACTGAACAAGGAATCTATTGTCTGGGGAAATGTAGTCCTGGAAAAATAATGAGTATTGGCTTTCAAATAAAGTAGTAACTTCGTATTCCTCTGACATTTGCTGCATTTTCATCATAGCCAATGATCTTTTTGTCCATTAGCACTCAGGGGGAAGAAATATTTATTTTTTTTAAAAAGATTGAAGAGGAGGAAGGAAAAACAGAGTTTCAGAAAGATATTAAGCATCTCCAGCTTCTTCTTTAAAAAGTTACAATTAACAGAAGATGTTGTGTTATATTACATGCATGCTTTATAGTTCAGAACGGCTAGTAACTGAAAAGCCCTTTAACAAAGGATTTACAAAAGGGAAGAACCTCAGCAGACTCTCTAGTTAATTGCTGAAGGAGGGTAAAATGTTGTTTATTATTACCCTGCCAAGTTTACATTTGCATGCTTTATTTTCTTGGACCAAGTGACTAAGGTTTAGCAATAACGAAGTTCTTGTTTAACAAAAATAACATTCTTGAATGATAGAGAGGTGAGGGAAAGAAGAGAAAGAAAGAAGACATTAAGATACTGGCAGAATACACACCAAAGTGGGTTTCAATGTTCAGAAAGAATGGCTTCATTGCATGGTGACAGTCTTGCATGACCATAACGTAATTTCTCTATTCTATGCTACACTGGCTACGAGACAAGGAACTTGTTCAAGGCAGGGGAAGTCATCAACAGGGAGTAAGGAAAAAGAATGATGAATGTTTACAGCACTGTAAAGTTTTTGGCCCATCTCATGTGTTATCTTCTCTTCAGTCCCTCTGCATCCTACAGCACTTAGTTATATAGAGATGTTTGAGAATAAACATTCTGAGATGGATCTTCTTCGATGCCATTTTATTTCAGTTATTATGGGATTGGGCTAAAGCCAGCTGTAAGTTTTAGATCTGGGTTAAGTTTCTAAATCCTGCCAGAGATTAGGGTGGTCTGATCCAAACTTTTGTTTCAAGTCTCTGCCTTCTCTTTTATCAGAGCCATATGAGGAATTGGTTCTTCAGCATTTTCTGAAACATATTTCATGCTTCAAAAAGTAATCTTTAACTACAGATCATTTTAATAAAACAAGCAGAAAATGCACTGTCGAAAAATCTGTTAGATAAGGGCAATGAATTTGATTAAACATTGCTGCTGAAACAATTCTGGAGGTTCCCCCACGTTTTTCATCTCCACTTGGATGCACTTTGGTATGAGAAGGTCTTTCTGCCATACTGGTCTGCAACAGACAGGGCTTTAAGCCAGTCTGTTGCTGGTCCTCAGGGGTGGAAGGAAACTTTTGGCAAGTCCATGATCCTTGCCCAGTGGCTCTGCTGCAAGCATCCTTTGGCAGCTATGGTGGTAGTGAGGGAAGGTGTTGTTTCACATGGCTTCCTATTAGGGTTGTCCTGCATTGCTGTATGTGTTCTTCCTGGCTCACCATCTGTAACTGGGGAAACCTGTCTTCTGCTCAAGGAACTGTTATCCCTAATGCCCCCTGTGAGGTACTCTTTCTCTCTGAATGCTGAGAAATTGCCAAAAACATCTGGAAAGTACCAGAAAAGTCCACCTCAAACTATACACAATTTCACTGATTTAATTTCCCTATAGATTTCCTACTTTAAGACTTCAGGACACTAAAATTATGCTTCTTACCAGTAGAGTCTTCAAATGTTGTTATTATTAAGCCATGAGTGAAATACTTTCCCATTCCTGGGGTAATCTGAAATAAAATAAAAATAAAAAATGAAGCAAAAAAACAGCTGTCTTTAACTTCTCAAAAAGTCTTGGCAAGTCCTTGCAAAGAACATAGTATTCTTTTATGTAAATTAAAACATTTCATTTTAATGGTTATTTGTAAAAAGAATTCGTTCATATACCTCTGTACTTCTGTTTCTTCTTTCTAAATGATTGCCAGGAAACCCCCAAAGCCCATTCCACAGAAAATAGAACTAGGCTGGGTTTTACTTTACTTTTTTTTTTTTTTTTTTTTTTTTTCTGGGTGGGAATTGTTT